CCTGCCTGCCTGCCTGCCTGCCTGCCTGCAACGTAGATAAAAAGGCAACTAGATAAACAATGATAACGATATCACTGCCTGATTGAGTGATTGACGACTGATCGACCAACTGATTGATTGCTTGATTGACTGATTGACTGGCTGACTGACTGATTGAACTGATCATCAAAAGGGCGCTGCAGGGATAAGGCCACAAAGACAGAGAGGGAAAAAAGTAATAAACAGAGCACGGAAAGTAGGCTGCCTTGCGTCTCTTGACACATCCTTTCTGCTTCTATTCCCTGTGGCATGGCCAATGCCGGGCGACGGCCCCTTCAATCAAGCTGCTGCCAAGTGGCGCTGCGCTGTTGCCTCGATTTCAACTTTGCCTTTGAAGTTCCGTGGCCTTGGGCCAAGATTGCCTCCACCTCCGCACACGAGGAAACGTTGCAAATCAGGAAAAGAAAGCCCAACAACACCCGGCATGCTACCCCCACAGTCATTGTTGGTCAGAATGGTGACTCAGCAACAGAAGACAGGATGGATGGACAGCTAATATGTTGATGCCTTTGATACACTGCGCAGCAGCTTTTCTTGTGCTTGCCCCTGCCTGTGACAATGTCAGCATTTGGACTGGTCCTTTGACAGCCAAATGGAAAGGTTGCAAGTTGGTCAGCCAGTTTAGACCCAAAAAAGGTCTCAAGTGCAGCACTAACATACTTGACTTGGGAGAACTCTAACTGCACCATGCATCACCCGCCCTCCCCTTCTCCTGACGCCATAGGCCCGAACTGCCAGCTCAGGTTCAGGCACCAGCCGCACAGTTTCTAGCCCTGCCAGTTCGGCAGCATATTCCAGGGCACGCTTCTGATATTTATTCCAGCGCACCGGCACACCTGCCACTGAGCATCGTCACAAGCCCTTTTTGAAGCAACGCTCTCCTCACTTGAAATGATCAGTGCACCACAGCTCGAGAAATCGCGGGACGGCCTAGGATTGCACGCTTGATTGGCTGTCCAAGGTAATTCTCTGCAATCTTCACCAGCTCCTGCAAAATCAAAGAAGCGAACGTTTCTGAACGGAATGTTTCAAGCTAAAGGCCACAGGTTATGCAAAACCCTTCTGAAAGGCCGGTCTTGGAAATTGAGAAACCTACTGTTTACTGAAATGACTTGTGGGAACCCAAACTCCCACATTTGATGAGCAAACCGTGCCTTGATGAGCACGGCAACTACTTCTTCCACAGAGATCACGCGCCCTCCCGGCAGCAGAAGCCGAACTATCTCTCGCGCCTGTGTCAAACCCAGACATGAATCCAGCGCAGTACCAAAGGATAAATCATCCCATTGAAGGAACGCGGAATACACACCTGTTCAATACTCTTACATACCCCATACCATGCCATACCTGTATATGAAACAAACCATCAATGGAATTATAAACATTATGTGGCGAGGCTTGGACATGTCATCTAAAACACGCCCAAACAGTTTCGGCATTATTTTTTGCGTCAACTCCTTGAATTCCAATGTTGGTTGCACAACGTACGTAATTATATTCCTTTGGCTTCCGGCTACTTGGGAATCGCACTGCTTGAAAACAAGAGTTCCTGATTCCCGGGTCACATGTGCAAAAAGGACGGGATCTATATATATATGGTAAATTCTAAATAGTTATATTTTTAGATATATATTTTATACATATAGAGAAAAGTTCAAGCACCTTTTCTAACTCGCTCTGCAGCCAGATTGTCAAAGCAAATAGAACACTTGGGAACAAAAAACACAATATCGGGTGATCAACCCCCTTCCAGGTCCACAACCCATGGAAGGGGGCGTTCCGGATGATCACGCTCGCCCCTGACCAGGTGGGCCACACCCCAAGCCCTGGCCAGGCCCCGAGGAACGGTCCTCTCATTTCTTCTCTTTTCTCATTTCGAGCGTTTTGCCGGCCTTTTTGAAACAGAAGGGTACTCGGGTACTTCCTCTCCTTTCCACGTCCCCCCAAACGTCGCTTGCGACTTGTTGGCCTGGCCAAGCATGGGCCGACAACGGGGACAAGCAAACCCGGACAAAGCCAGCAGCGAAGCAGACAAGGCCTGGACAAGCCTCGGACAAGGCGGAAAAGAAGGCCCATAGCGATCATGGCCAGCCATTTCTTTCTCAAACTGTTCCGCGGACCAAGAACTGGACAAGAGGAGGACCCAGCGTTCGCACGCATGGCCAAAGGACAAACGGAGGACAAGGGGAGGACACAAAGTTCGCAAGAGGAGTGCAGGAGGACACCAGGAGGACAACTGGAGGACAAGAAAAGGACAACATCCGGACACAGGGTTCACGAATGTGGCCAGAGACTGACAGTCTGTAGTCAATGTTGTTTTCTCAGAACCCTAACAGTTTTGAACCAAAGAAGTTGTGGGAGGAAAACACTCCGACTCACGAGACGAAAAGGGCTAAAGGAGGAAAGGCCCTTAAGTAAGCTCCAGTGTTCTCAGTGAACGGTAAGGCTAGTAAGGCTACTAAACTTTTCAAAAATGTATGATATATATATATATAGTCTTATATAGTTATGTATATTTGTAGCCCCAAAAGGAGGTGGGTAGGCCGCTAGGAAAGGTGGAAGAGGTAGCCAGGAGCTACTAGGACGCCACCACCTACTGGACGCAAGCCAGGATAGCTCACGCACTATTCATTTTTTGAAAATCAACCAAACACACGACGCAAAGAATATGTAGGAACTACAAAGGAAAAACTCGCTTGACCCAGGCGTTTCTGTGACAAGACAATTTTCAAAGTGCAACGCAATAAAATACCATGTAAAACACGATATGTTCAACGAGCATTATCCCGGAAAGGGACACCAAACAGTGTGTTTCAGGTCTGGAGGTGTGGCAGCAGAAAGTCTAGAGATCTAGACGCATTGGGTCCAGAGAGGTGATGGTGGTGATGAAGGATCGTGGTGATGGTGGTGGTGGTGATGATGGTGGTGATGGTGGTGGCGATGGCGGTAATTGGTGGTGATGGTGGTGGGTGTCCACAAAGTGATGGCGTTGGTGGGTGGTGATGGTGGCGGATGGCGATTCAAGCTTGGAGAGGTCCACAAAGTACTGCGCCTGCCACGAAATCTGCACTTCAAGGTCCACCACTTGCCACGAAATCTACATTTCAAGGTCCACAAAGTAATGCGCCTGCCACGAAATCTGCACTTCAAGGTCCACAAAGTACTGCGCCTGCCACGATTTCTGAAAACGAGCCACATGTCCAAAAGTCACGATCAGAGCGCGTCGAAGATTACCACTGTGTCCAAAGTGATGCACCTGCCACGAATCTACACATCGAAGTAAAACCGCACCTGTCACGAAAAGTCGACTTTGGACCACCAAAACACTAGGTTCCCCATGGTTTCCCTTGCGCCTGCCACGAAAAGTGACCACCATGTCCGAAAATTCGCACGGCGCCAAAACGATAATTTTGCGAGCCTGCGCAATCGAAATGCACTTCGAAGATTTCGAGGGGCATGAATGTACTGTAAATAGCAATGATCTAGCCGCGCACGAACGTGCGACACCTCCATTAGACACCGGCCCTGAACACCTACCGTAAGAACCACTCAGTGTGAAAGAGCTGCCGGTTTCATCAAAATACATGTTGAAAAGCGCTCGAAATTAGCGGGTCCGCTAACAGCTAACAGGGGCGGGCGATTCTGTTGCATGTGTTCTGGCGCTGTTTGGGGTGCGCCTCTATCATATTATGGCTGCGGACGCACACAATGGCTTACATATGCTCGCATGTTTGCTGTGGCTGCGTAGGATCAACAGCTTTCTAATGTCTTCATGTAGATCTCTGCGTGGTATTGTGTGCTTCGGAGACCTGACTCAAACGCCGCTCGCGTTGCTGGGAAGGGTGATTCTGATGACAGCCAACCCAAGCAGTTTCTTCTCATCGGCTGCTTCCTACGCGTTTTTTGGGGAATGGTTCCCCAAACAGTCTGGTGTTTTGGTTCCATACATATCCATACTATTCCATACCGAATCAAGTCCACATTTGTACACTCCTTTACAGAATGTTACATTCTTTCATATCCATTGAAATCAATTGGACATGCCCCCACCTGACCAGAAGGATCTGCGCCCAGCTCGCTGGGTCTCAAACCAATTTGGTGAGCTTCTTCGTAGGTCCGCCCCAAGAGCCGCTTCATGGAGTGGAAGACCCTTGGAAGGGGCGGAGTAAAAAGGGGTGCAAGAAAAGCAAGATGAAACAAGATAAGTCTCTCTTTAAAGGGGCCTACCATGGCCCTACCTTCCTTTTTCATATCTTTATTCTTGCCTTCAACCAACTCACATCATCTCGGCTACTGTCGCATCTTTTTCTGACCCTCTTGATTGCCAAGAGTCACTTGCTTTTGGCTGATATGTTTAACACGCAACGCCTTCAACCCCACAACAGAGTCGCCCTCAGAGTTGAAAGCCACCACTGATGGCATCGTTGGACGGCCCCTAGGTGCACCTGCACAGCTCGTCACGGTCTGCCTTTGCCTCCTGAAATATACTAAGTCCAACCCAATAGCGATGGCCTCCAACCTAATCGCGGTGGCCTCCAACCTACTAGTGATGGCCTCCGACCTACTAGCGATGGCCTCCAACCCACTAGCGATGGCCTCCAACCATAATAGCGATGGCGTCCAACCTAATAGCGCTGGCCTCCAACCTACTAGTGATGGCCTTCCGCCTCCAACCTAATA